TGCAAAGAATCATATTTATATATTTTCTAAAATCATTAAAAAAAAAATGTAATGGAAACCAGCATACCAGCGTAATAGTACGCTGGTAGCATTATTATTGCTTGTTAACTATCAAGGTGTATACGTTAAAAAATATACAGGGTCATAAATGAATTTTTTTCTTAAGTGGGCATGTAGTTTATATTGTTACTGACCATAAAGTTAACCATGCAGGCAATGTCAATTACTGCAACATTCTTTACCCACAGGCACACATGGAATTTCCAGATCTTTGACTACGGTACAGATATCAAGGCAGCTGATGCTCATGGTGCATAATGAATGATAACATAGTGTACAAAGCTTGGCAAATTCCATCTTCCTTGCTGCTTCTCTAGAACTCGGTGACTATCATATTCCATTTCAGTTAGGCTCATGATTCATCCTGACAAGCATAAATTCCTAGGGACACAGTTTCTGTTCATAAGCCTCAGTGTTGACTATACATGAAATCTTCAATGACTTTGTATTGGGTATCCCCTAATGACAGCACTGTAGTCCATTACAGTGTTCAGCTGCAGTTGGCATGCCTTGCACCATTGACCTTCTCTATATTTACCGATGTGCCCTATTATAATGCTAATAAATGGGGGAAACATTCTGCCGCTGACAAGAGGCAATAAGCTATACAGCAGAAATATTACAGAACATTTTATATCATTCTATATTTTTTCAAGTTCCATGTTTTTTGTTTTTTTTCTTGTAATAACAATTAATTGTGTTTTATTATGTAAAACTGGAGCTCGGTATGAAAATAACAAAACAGATCATGTAGACTACCAAATAATTATATAATCCGGACTGCTCCTCTTGACATTCCTAATTCTGCTTCGTTATAGTTTTGGTATGGATTTTCATGACATACTTGTGGATATAGGATCCATGATAAGAACACCTATGTAAATTTATGTTCATAATTTCTGTCTCTTTATGTTTTACATTAAGAGCAACTACATACATCTTAACTGTAATCATGCAAAAAACATGTACCAAGCTTAAATTTTCTGAAATGTTTTTATTGCTTACTTAATGGAGAATGAATGAAAAGTACAGCAACAAATTAGACATGGTTTAAGGCTAAAACAGGTGCTACCGAGGGGCAACATGCTAAAGAAGGAGCAATCACATTGGGAACCAATAGAACGTTTCCCAGCATTTAGCACCTGTTTAGCCTTGATAATTTCCTTTAGTAGTGCTGTGTTTTATTATTAAAAAATAGAGACACTGAGAATAAGTAAACATGTAAAAAGATAATATAAGATGTCATGGTATAACCATGTAAGGCATTAATTTATTCTTTATATAAAGTTCAAATAAAGTCCATTTAACAGTTGCCTATGGCATTCATCTGAATTTTGTCTATTTCTTTCTTAGTCAATTCTACACTCCATGCCCCCTCCACCCCCAAACCACACATTTCATATTGTTGGCCCACTTAACTATACCTCTACTAATCCCACTAACAAACCATTTTCAAAAAATTACTGGTGTGTATCTTCTGCAGAACAATATGACTCATATGATGTTTCTACCACATTCTCAGAATGTTATGTGTCAAAAGGTAGACTAGCATACAGAGCATCACAAATGGATTCCAACAGATAATAGATATGCCACTATCAAGATTATTCACTAAAGTGTGATATTCACTTTTCATTCTGAATAATTCACATTTTATACCAAAATTGCTGCTATGAAAGCACGGTTGACTTGGAGAATCGTTTCACTATTTGGGCAAAATGTGAAATTCATTTTGAATTCACTCTTCAATGACTAACCCTGTTAGACAGAAAGAACAGTAAAGTTAATGGGTTACAGATAATGAAAAATACTAGATTGTTATCATGAATATATAAAATGGATATAATCCCACTTTATGATCTAAATACTATATATAAACAGCAAGACGTTGATGATATAAGTGGTAAGTAAGGAATGGAATCAAAACCTATGGCACTGGAAGGTAATTTGAATATTAGGAAAGCAATAGATTATTGTAGACTCGAGGCTGCTTTGTTTAAAGTGGATATTTAATCTGCTTATTGTACATAATGCCTACCAGTATTTTTTTTTTTGTTCCACAAGTAAATGTTTTATTTACATGAAACCCCCAATGTTCAGAGGATTAAAAATACTGTAATCTTAAACAGCAAGTTCCACTAATGACTTAAGCAGCATAAATAACTATTCTGGAATTATAATGGTCCCTCAACTGGGTACACCAGTACAATGCATCCACTTATGATTCATGCTGTTTGTAAGATTATCAAATTATGTATTGGGTTAAACAAGCTCAATTTATCTTTATTTTCTGAGAGACTAAATTAAATATGAATAAAATGTAGCATATTTAGCTTTTAGTAAGCCCTTTTACACACTGGCATATTAACTGATATACTATTTATTTTGCTCCTGGTCTGTGATGGAATGACAGACTTCCAAGACAAAGAATGAATCTGGCATAGGGTATTATTTATGAATATGTTATAATAATTCAATTATGCATTAGCACAAGAATCTAGGATTCAAAATGCGCAAGCCAATTTGATGAAGATTTTGCAAAGAGCTGGGTTGTATAATTTCTGGAAGACAAAAAAAAAATATTGTTCAGGTATATCCTCTAAGTATTATAATTATTTTGTTAAAGGGACTTTTAAAGTACAAAAGCAACTATTTTAGCTTAATAAAGTGGATTTGGTGTATAGATCATGCCCCTGCCATCTTATTGCTCAAGTCTGTGCAATTTAGAAATTAAATCACTTTGTTTATGAGACTTTGTTTATGTTCAGAGACTTACACAACCTTCCTACACACTTCCTAAAAAGAGGCAACATTTTTGAGCTTCCCTTATTGCACAGTGTGTTTAATTAAAATATATTACCTCCTGATTTATTCATTGCCTGCTTGAGCCCTTAGAAGCCTAATTTGTATGATTAAAGTTCAATTAGCAGAGCAGGAGGAAATAACTTTTAAAGTAAACATAATGTGTTGTAGGACGTGAAAATGAAACCGTTTTTGAATGGAGGCTCTGTGAGCCTCAGTTAGGGGAGGAGTGGTTACGGCTGAATTAACAGAAACAAACGTGATTTAACTTCTAAATGGCAGATAATTAAGAAGTAAAATTGCAAAACCACTTCATTAAACTAAACATGTTCTGGTGCATTGGTTATCCCTTTTAAGGTATATTTTGTTACAAATGTTATTGCTCATTATTTGCTCTGATGCTCCACATTTATGTGACAAGCCAGTGGTCTGTTTACCAAATGACCTCTTTTCTGCAACAGTTGTATTGTTGCTATTTTAGATTCATAAGGAAAAAGAAACATATTCTTGGTCACCATTCTGAAAACTCAGACAGTGAATGGACACGATAACAGGAACATTGATTGAAAAAGAATAACAAAATCGCAATTACAAAAACAGTTAGAAGGTTGTTTCACATTAGGTTTATTGCCAGTTAGATGGATATGTTATGGATAAAAGAGGTCTAACATGTATGCATGTAATGTGATAAGCAAGAAGACACCATTATTAGAGTCCCAAAGTAGACACGTAGTGAGCACCTGAAATAAAGCTGCATCGGTATAAAAGCTGCCTTTTCTAATGTGTCATGTCAAGAATGATTGTATATGTGACCTATGGACAAACTGACAAACTGTATTGGCAATAGGATTTTTTTCCCCTTTTTCTTTTTTTTTTTTAAACACAAATATGGAGGTGGTCGTCATTTTGCGACCTATCTGTTTTACAACGGCTCGCACTTACGACCAGCTCTCTCGCGGGGTGGTAAGTGCGAGCCATCGTGGGAATTAGAGGGGTTCCCTGCTCTGCTGCCTTGTCTATGTTCGAGGAATTTTCCAGAACATAGACAAACGCAACAGAGCAGGGAATCCCTCTAATCTATGTTCGGGAAACTTTCCTACTCTTGTGTGTTCGTCTATGTTCAGGGAAATTTCCCCGAACATAGACATGCGCACCATAGATTAGAGGGATTCCCTGCTCTGGTGCATTCTGGAATCCCTTAACCCCTCACTTACTGACTAATTCGTTCTACGACCGGGTCATAGGAATGGAACATGGTTGGTAAGTGAGGAGTATCTGTATATATATATTCAAGATCCCATATAAACATATTAATACATGGTCTTTTTTTTTTTTTTTTTATTAGCAATTTTTAGGATAGTGCAGAGATACAGCGTATATAACATTGTCATTTACATCATATTGTTACAGTCTTTAACATACGTAGTTTTTACAGGTCAAGTATTTGTCATACATTTGTGTCAACCAGTTACACTCATTAGCCTATGTCCTGTAGATGCCATCACTATTGAAGTTCCGCTGCACTTCGCACATTTTTATTTTTGCTTCAAACATAGGGGCTGTGGGTTGGGTGGGGAAAAAGAGGGGAGGGAAGGGGGGGGGGTTTGGTCAAGGTAGAGAAGACTTATGATTCAATTGACATCAGATTTAACAGTTTCCGTGTCCCATCCGAACCCTGCCTACCCTTTACGAATCCTACTTGCTCTCTATGAATCACTGATGGAATAATGGTGGAGAGTCTATTTGCATATATTTTTGCTAGAAGTTTCGTGTCTGTATTCAAGAGATGGGTCTTAGATTTTGTGGTTTGTTTGGCGGTTTTCCCGGTTTGGGTAGTGTGGCTATATGGGCTTTTAACATTTCGGGTGGTATGTTGCCCGTTTTTATGATTGCGTTGTACAATTCTGCTAGGTGAGGTGATAAAGTGGATTTAAAGCATTTGTAGTACCAATTCGTGAAGCCATCTGGGCCTGGTGATTTCCCTTTCGGTAAAGAGTCGATGGCTTTTTCTATTTCTGTCCGGGTGATCGGCTTTTGGATCTCCTCTTGTTGTGTTGGGCTAATTGTGGGGAGATGTGCTTGGTCCAAGAAATCTTGGATTTCCTGGCTCGTTGGTTGGTGTGTCTTGTCATCTTTTTCTAGATTGTACAGTTCGGCATAAAAGTCTGCCATGGTGTCCCGGCTGTGTTGCCCTGGGAATATTGCGTCATTCTCAGTTTACTTAGTGTGTGTGAAGTCTTTCGAAACAGTAAGTCATTGATGGCTTTTGTGGTTTGGTATATTTTGGTCTGTCCTTCCTGGGTTGGGGAGATAAGCTGAGCTTGTGTTTGATCTCTGAGTAATTTAAGTAACGAGGTATAGTCATGTTGTGCTGTTTTCTTCAAATATACCACTCGACTAATGAGTAATCCTCTAATTACTGCTTTATGTGCTACCCATGTGTTTTGGGGTTGTGCTTGGGGTGTGCAATTCGTTGTAAAGTATAGGTTTATTTCCTTTTCTAGTGAATCTTTAAAAGAGCGATTATATAAAATAGTGTCATTCAGTTTCCAGGGTGAGGTTCCCCGAAACTGGAATTTGTCTTGTAGTGTTAATGAGGTGGGTGCATGGTCTGACCATGTTATGTCTCCGATTTTACATTCTGTGATTGCGGTGAGGATATGTGCCGATACTAGAATGAGGTCAATACGTGAACTAGTCTTGCGGACTCTCGAGTGGTGCGTGTATTCGCGATTGTTTGGGTGCATTGTGCGCCATGTGTCATATAGGTTAAATTCCATAATCAGTTTTGTTAGAGCTTTGCATTGCGGCTTCAGGGCAGCATGTCTCCTGGTGTCTCTCAGTACTGTTGTGTCCAGGCGTGGATCCAAAACATGGTTTAGATCTCCACATAGAATTAGATTTTGGAATTGTGGGCTCGGAATTTTAGTTAAAACTTTGTGTAAAAAGTTTCTCTGATTGGTGTTTGGACTATATAGAGAGACTATTGTGTATTTAATGTCGTTTATAATACAATGAAGTATGATGTATCTGCCTTGGGTGTCCTTTTTGATTTGGAGTAATTCATATGATAGCGATTTATGTATTAGTATTGAGGCTCCCCTTGATTTAGTGGAATATGTAGAGTGATATTGAGTGGGATACTCCCTTAGTGCAAACTTGGGTATTTTAGTGTGCGTGAAATGTGTTTCTTGAACACAAAGTATATCTATTCTTTCTTTCCTAGCTGTGTCCGTGAGAACACGTCGTTTGTGCGGCGTGTTTAAACCACACGCGTTAATGGTTTGTATCTTCAGGTTGTTGTAACAGTGTGGTTGCTGAAGGGGTGTCAATTAGTCTATGGTGTATAGTGGAGCGTACCTCGACCCGGGATGTGCATAACTTGGAAGTGGTGATGGGGGTAGGGGCAGAAACTGAGTATATACATGCTCCCCGTGGGGAGCTAGTGCAATAATGATGCACCGTGGGGATTGGAAACATTCGTCTCCTGTGGTGTGGCGTGTGGGCTAAGTTGCTTCCATATGGGTTTGAACAGAACCTTTAGTATTTTTTTTTTTGAGGTGGATATGGCTAAACCCAGCAGCAGATTTGGGGCTGGTGTTATTGGCAGTTCTACACGAGGGCCTATTTTTGGTGTTGTCCAGAAGTGGTTCGTAAGATTGCTGCGAAGTAGCGTAGACCTCTATGGTCTTTTTCGGCACTTTAAAGGCCTGGGTGGTATTGTGGGGTTTCCCCTCCTCACCCGATGTCGTTTGAGTGGTCTCACGTTGCCTGTGTGTACCCCATTGATCTCCCTCCCTCCTCTCTCCCCACCCCCCATGGTCCAGTATTCACACATAGGCTCAATAGGTACCATTGTGGATCTTGGGTAATAATGTGCTATGGTGTCGGTGTTGCTATGTCAGGTCTCTATACTTTATGGGTGTACCCGAGCCGGCACTGAATAGGAGCTCCGCATCCCTCGCGCAAGTTGTGCTCTGAACCCAGGAAGCGAGGCACCCCGCGAATCCCCCCCGCCCCCCCCGACAGGGGGGAAGGGGGTAACGGCGGGGGAAAGGCGCGCGGGCCCCCTGCCCCCATCCCGCTAATAAAGCAATTGAGGCTCGATGAGGCTTCTCCCATCTCAACCTCTTGGGCCTTAAGTGTCCGTGGGCACTCCCCCCTGTCATTATGTGCATCCTCATTGCCAGCGAGGCCCTTGATACCCTTACCAGCTGTATCCCTGGGCCTATACCCTGTCAAGTAGTGTCCCATTTAGTGTTACCAACACAAGTTTCAAAAATAAAGCAAAAAAGTACAGATTAACAGAGTAGCACGGCGGCATAACGGCATGTGTTAAGAGAACTTCGTCTGTCCTTAATGTCCTTTGGTTACACGCACAACAATATTTTTAGCCTCCCAAAGCAAAGAGTGCAAGAGCCCACTGTGTCCGAGCCCTGTGTACATGAGTGGTGTTGGGGAGAGAGTCGGGGATCGTTAGTCTCATTCTGCCCCTTCAATGGCGATGTGCACGAGTATATTGTGTTAGTGGTATGCAATACTTGCGATTTCCCTCATGTGTCTGCCGATGCTGTTCAATGGTTGCTCGGGGCTGTTTGCCATTCCAGCCGCAATCTGTGCCATGGTGAAGCTTGAGCGGGTTCCAGTTGGGGGTTAATACCCCATGTTTTCAGTTTGGCTGCTCCATCTTCTGGGGTGAAGATTGGTTTCAGCGCTCCATCCTTCACCACCAACAATTTCGTCAGGTACCCCCATCTTATTCCGTTGTTGCGGAGCGCAGTAGTAATTGGCATGAATTCTTTCCGTTTTCGAAGAGTTGCCGCCGATATATCAGGGAAGATCTGTACCTTGGCATAATCTTCTGGCGGTTGAGGCTTGCTCCTGCTGGCGCGTAGTATGTGTTCTTTGACATGAAAGTAATGGGCACGTAGCAGGACATCTCTGGGTGTGGAGTCTGGGAGATGGCGTGGGCGAGGCACTCGATGTACCCTATCTAGCAGCAGCATGTCGGTCGGGATTTCTGGAGCGTAAGCGTGCAGCATACCTCGCACATATCCCTGTAGGTCTACTGGGAGCACCGATTCGGGTACGCCCCGCAGCCGTAGATTATTTCGCCGCGTCCTGTCCTCCAAGTCTGCGAGCTTAGCTTCGGTGAGTAGCAGTTTTTCTTCCAGGCTTTCAACATGGGATGCTAAGTCGTTATGTGCCGTCGCGACTTCGTCCATTTTGGATTCCATGTGTGAGGTTCTATTGCCTATGTCCTGAACATCTTTGCATAGGGCCTCCACAGTACTCTGCCATGATCCGATTAGCTTTTGGGAGAGATTTTCTAAAGCTTGAGCCAGGTAGCTTTTTGTCAGGGCTTCTCCCGTTTCAGGCCTGCTTTGTGGTATGCTATCATCTTCAGAGCAGTCGTCGCCATCTTGAGTGGCATTTGGTAGGCCCAAGTTCGTCTGCTGTGGTTTTTGGTGAAAGAAATTCATTTTTTCCGCTTTTGGTGCATTCTTTTTTCCTTTGTGGTGTGACATTTTCTGAGATGGGGTCTTGGTGCAGTTCTGTGCGCTAGGATTAATTTAGATTGTCAGCCCATGTGCCGGAGCTAAGGATTATGCATCCATCTTGTCTGGCGGTTAGCCACGCCCCCCTACATGGTCTTTTTTAATACATACAATATATGTAAATCATGCTAGATTTGCAATTTCTAACATCTGGATTGCTTGGATACTTGTTAGCACATTGGTGTAATACTGTGTATTTGCATTTTGCCTCAAAACAAGTACTGTGGATGTGCAAAGGACAGAGATAGAGGTGATCCCATTGCAAGGATTGGTGTAATATCACTATATTACCATAAAAATAGGCATAATCATTAACTGATGTAACCCACACTGACTGCCTTATTAGTTGTTCATTGCATGGTAATTACAATGGAACCAGCTATGCTGCTAGTTTAGTATTAAAGGGACAATGTGGGCACTAAAACAACTTTACAGATCATTCCCCTTCAGTCTTACTGCTCAGTTCTTTATGAGTTAGGAGATAAATCACTTTGTTTACACAACCCTAGGCACACCTCCCAGAATGTACCTTGCATAGCCTTCCTAAACCTTCCATAGCTTTCCTGTCAAGAGTCATCTAATGTTTACACTTGCTTTATTGTGCAGGCTGTTTAATTTAGAATTTCTTATCTTATGTTCTGTTAATAGCCTGCTAGACCCTGTAGGAGTCTCTTGTGTGTAATTAAAGTTCAATTTACAGAGCAGATAATAAAAAAAATCTAAAGCAATTTAACATCTGATTGAAATTAAACCATTTTTTGTGCAGACTGTGTGAGTCACAGCCAAGGGACATATGGCTACGGCTGCATAAAAAGAAACAACTCCTAGATGGCAGAGAATTGAGTACTGAAACTGCAGGGGTATGATCAATACACTATAACTGCTTCATGAAGCAATAGTTGTTTTAGTGACTATAGTATCCATTTAAAGGTCCATTACTGGCACTAAAACTACTTCCAGGAAGTTGTTATGGAGCCTGGAATCCACTGATACCTTCTTAGCTTTAAGTGTTAAACTGTGTTCCCCAAAACGCTGGTCTGGCTTCATCATCGCTGCCTGCTCACAAATGCAGAAATGTTTGCTTAATCAGCAGTGATAGGCTGAGATTATCATCTGATGCTTTCAGCCTATCACTAGCCAATAATAACAAATAACTCTTTGAGCAGGCAGAAAAAAGGAAGCCAGACCCTTGCCTGGGAAACCTCATTCTGAGTTTAACACTTATAGATAAGTAGGCGCTAGTGGACTCCAGGTGCCTTAACCACGTAATTGACATGAAGTGAGCCAGAGTGGTGCTTTAATATAATACAACTATTAAGAAAACGGATTTGCCTTTTAGGAGAATTTATTTTTATGGAAAATTATTATATCAACCTGACCTATTTGCTCTAAAAACCTTTGTGTGAAAAATCATTTTAGAGTTGCTAATAGCAACTCTTGTTCTCCTTCATTACAATTTTTAAAATACCTTTATGATGCAGTGATGATGATTTTTCAAGTACTTTCAATCGCAACCAACATTCACTTTTCATTTTAAAAATGTCCACCATTCTTCCTTTAATCTCTCCCATTACAAATTGTCCATTTTCTACTGTTCTTTCCTTTTTGTTATATTCACTTATGCAATATTTGCATTGTGTTACCACAAATATGGTATACATTTTCTATTATATTTATTGGTCTAATTCAATAACAATTTATAATATATAAACAGGAATCATCCACACTTTTAGAATTCTTTGAGTTGCAGTACATTGTTAATTTAATACAATACAGAAAAACACATAGGGACTTTAAAAAGTAATCCTGGATGGCAGCAGGCACAATCCTCTTCGGTTGCCATGGAGATTGAGGAGCATTAGATGGAGACTTTAAAGGACTCACAGCAGATTTTCAAATCAAAAGAATCTATCCTAAGCTTTGCAGTTCCTGTTACAGGCATGTGCCTATTAGGAGAAAACGACATCCTGCTCTACAAGGACAATCCACTGTGATCATTTGCGTTCTGTGGTTTTGCTGATAGCTCGGCATCCCATTTGCTTCCACTGTACCATTCAGTTGTTTCATTTTAAGAATTATATCTTATATGATGGCAGATTTATTTTATTTTAAATCACAACTTATGTTTATTTAGTTGCATTTTTTTGCTTTTTTTCTAAGCTTATAGAAAGCGTGATTGTGTGATTGTC